TTTATTCATTGACCACGTCATCCATCCCTGATTCATAGAAGCGTATGAGGAGAATTTGGAGCCACAAGCATTGTACCAAAAACATAAGTTGTTGTGGGTTTTATTGCCTGGGTTGCTATGCAAGGACTTCCATTCCCAAGCCCTCAACTATGCGATAGACGGATGGAAAGAGAGGGCACATGAGGAGAAGGAGCTAGTGGCATTTGATGTGATGAAGGTAGAAATCCAAAATTAGAACAATGGCCAAAAGAAGTGCATGGACAGTGAACCGCCTCCAAGGGTCAGCGCCAACAACCATTTTTATTTGTAGCTTGAACAATTAATATCGATCAATTTATGTAAAGGAATTGGCCAAAGGCCATTGTCTTTCTTAGTCGTCTATGAGTCTAAGTTCATGCGGACTTTGTGCGGTCAGATATTCAGAACTTCTTGAGAGTTGGCACATTGATTCTTTAGCCAATTCTCAAGAGTTGAGAGTGGTGAACGTTATGACAGTGGTAGTAATGCATAAGAAGCATTTGGTGGTCGATTTGTGGTGTGTCAAATCGTTTTATCAAATACCAATCGTTCTCCTACGAGAAACTTTGTGATGTTTCTGACTATGCTTAGTCTAGCGGATTTGGTTATACGACTGTTTTGAAGTTTGGCTACCATCATTTTCGAATGCACCATAATACCTGGCGATATCTAGGAATCAAGTTCAAGGGTAGATGTTGTTGCTTCAATCATGTACCTTCTGTTTTACCATCAGCTTGTCAGGTGTTCATTTGTATCATGCGAGAGGTTTACAGACCAATTTGTGCCCCTGGCATTTCTATGTCCTACCTTATTGATGACGAGATGGACACATTGTTACTACGAGCCAAATTTTAGTGTCAACTTGTTCAGATGATTCTAGTGGCTTTAAGTTGTTCCTTAGAAATCCCTAAATGTCAACTTGTGCCATCGCATGTATACAAATTCTTAGGAATGATAGTGAACCTTCGCAATGGCCAATTAGAAGTACAAAAGGAAAAAGTACTTGCTTGTCTTGAGTTAGCTCGCATTACACTTTGGAAACCGACAGTGAACGACAGAAAGTTGGCACATATGACAAGGAAACTACTCTCGTTTCCGCCTGCTATTCAATAAGTTCCTTTATTTATACGCGGTCCGTATAAGAGCATGCTCCATTTTGGGTTTTGGAACCAAGTATTTCCCACTTCAAAACATATCGTATGGACAATGCGTGGATTCAAAATATTGACCAATTCAGTGGTCGGCATTTGTGGAAGTAAGATGAAGATTAGGGTCAACAGGTTCGCAAGGTCAACGCAGCGCAAGGACAACCAATTGGGGATGGCTGCGATGTGACATGATAGCACATGCCCTCCTATAGTAGTGCCAATAGTGATAGCATTGATATCCACATGGAATAAATGGGGTTTTGCATAACTATTTTGACATGACTTTTCCAATGTGACTTTTCCATCAATGACCAAATCAAGGGTTTTCGAATTCGTGAACGCCAACTCGGTTAGGTTGTGTGCGATGGTGCATTCATTAATCACTAAATGGTAATCCATAGGGGGCCTTTGGGACGAAGCATTACCAAGAGGCATATCCAGGGAGATTTCGGGCTGACGTAGGTATATTCTAAGCATTGTATACAATGCCTTTTGATATGCACCGTATTAAGTTCCCAAGTGGCATGCGGTGTAGCTGCCCCCGGTCTACAATTCACGTTGGCTTGCAATTGGTGAACCAACCAAGCCACCTCTCTATATGAGGTTAGGACTCTTGTGGACAAGCGAGCCAACTACATGGGGAAGCTTTGAATCCATATCTTGGGCGCACCATTTCAGCAGGCTTGTGCCGCTTGCAACCTTGCCATGACATCCAGTTTAGTCCCTTATTTTCCTTATATGATAGATTTTCCTTAATTCCTTGTACGATTGTATACAAAACTTCAACACTCCAGTGGGTTAGGCTATGTCACAGCCTCAAAGAAGACATTATTGATGGCACTCCTCATGAGGTCACTGGATGTTTGCCTAAGGGTATGTGCAACTGGGGACCAATAGCATGAAATTGAGTCTAACAATGGACGAATGCAGCTCGTGACTACAACAATTGACGTTTGAAGAGACCAAGGGTGCAGAGGACATAAGTGGCTAACCAACGACTGCTTGTATGAGATTATGAGCGCCACAAACCCCTTGGTGATAAATGGTCACCATTGGGATTAGGATTGTAAACATTTGACACTTCACTGTCTATTTTCAAGTGCAAGATGATAAGGGCCTCCAAAATATATAAAGTGATGCCCTCCAGCTATTTAATTGAAGGTGATAGTCTAGCTGATTTGATTTCAATTGATTTCGGACACTCGGGAAGAGAGTAATTCGAAGCGATGTGCGTGTTTCTCCTTGTGATGAAGGGGTTTAGTTGATCACCTTGCGAGAGTGAGGTTGCCAGGGAACATTGTGTGGATTGTGATGATCGTAGGTACACTTGGTGTGGGTTCATCGCGGGCTAAATGAGCAACGAATTTACTTGATGTATTATTGTGGAAGCTTGTCAGGTAGAGATGTGCAGCGAAGTGGATGTGATGCCACAAGGGGTTATGTGACGAGCGCATCAATTGCCCCCCGTACCCCATGGGAGTACCCCAAAGACACCTGGGCGTACATGTTTGCAGATTTAGTGCATGCATCATGCTCGATTTCATTCTTGTCGATGGTGGCATTTACGGTACTGCAAAGCGGAACAAGCCCGTTGTACCTAAGACGGGGTGCTCCATTTTAGGACACGCACACGTACGCACACATGCACACACACACGGACGCAAGCACGCACGGACATTTCCCCCCTTACCCCCCCTCCCCCCCCCCCTCTCCAGCCTCTCTTCAAGCGCCTTCGTATTGTCCACGTAGCCTGTGGCCTTGAGCTCTCCAAAGTTATGTGCTGGCCCCTCCAATACTCGAGCAGGTTCAGGCCAGTCAACACATGCTTGATGGCTGTGCACTCCATGATCCCGCCTGTGATCACGGAACCCTTCTTCTGCCTCGGCACTTCAAGGATGTCCCTCGTCCAGTAGCGCCTAAAGCTGACCTAAAAGCACATGCGATGATTGTGCCATAAAATGAACTTGGGGTCTTCATTGCTGCACCTGAGCCTTGTATGCGGTTCGCCTCTCAGGCATTGGTATTTCATATCAGCACTCAGGATACAAACCGTTATGCTGTACAACACAATGCTGTTTCATCTGCATATAGTTGGGATTGCGATCATGACCACAAGTCACAGCACCACAGTGCAGGGCAATGTGTACTCCCCCAAAGTACAACAAAGTGTTGACTCTCCTTCGATGTGGCATTGTGCCCTATTCCTACATGATTTCGCTGTTGTGAAGGCACAAGTGCGCAGTCTGGCAATCGGAACCCACTTCCATTGACAGTCACACGACTCGCTTCCAGGCACTCCTGCCCCAGGGGTGCTCAGGTGTGCCAATCTTACCTTCACGCTTGGACAGCTCGTATGCAAGAGCGATGAGGAAGCGGCTGTACCCTTTCCGCCAGTAAGGGTGGGAGGGTTGAGATGCCGGCAAGGTTGAGGTCCTTGGGTGAGTACTTCTCTATGGAGAAGTACCCCACAATGTGATGGTCCCTGGAGGGGACGATGGGATCGTCAGTGGGAGGGATAATCTGGCAACTATCGATGGTGGGTACAATCACAAGGGTACATCAAATAAGATTGGACTGTGATTCTCCAAAGGAAGGGTTAGAATAAGAGGCAACTGTGTTTCTCAACTTCTCTGATGCATCCAGACCCGTCAAGCCAAATGGGGCACATTGTGTGACCTGCCAATCGATCCATCCAACTCCTGTCAATGCACACTTGTCGAATTGAAGAATCTGTAGTGCTTCCTTACTGAGGGGGTTTTCAGGTTTTCGACCTTTTTTCACCTTTAGACACAGACTGGAACAATGCTCTTGTGATACTTCAAGCAAACCTCCATCACATTCCTCGCACATGCCCTTTGGGTACTTTTTACAGCCTTGCACCATGTTCGGAGGGCAGCTGTGATCCGGCTGTGCGCAGGATCGTTCTGTGCCACCTGTTGGACAGCAGAGTAACAGGGCTCTGGCGTTGAAATTCAACACAGCAGTGGAACACACACCCAACCTCCAGGCATTCATACAGGACGCAGGATAGGAAGAGGTCCACATCGTGCAAATGCATCGATGCAAAACAACATCCTTTGTGAACATTGCAGACCCACCTGGCGGGTGCCGCTGCTGGAGTTTGGTAGAGTGCTTTAGAAGCATCTTCTTTGCAAAGTACCTCAGCGTGAACTTGTGCAAATGTGCAACATGTCCTTTGAAGGGCACGGCTCGGGATAGGGCGAGTAGTACCATGTCCACATATTCTTCCCCAACTCGAAAACCTACGAGACGATCCCGGTGTTTTTTTGTCACAAGATGCTTTGCACAGCAATGCTCAATGACTTCTGTTGCACTGCGCCTGAAAAAAGGTGCCCATTCAATGCATGACAAGCACATGCTAATAGGACAGAAGTGGACAAGTGCATTCTGTGTCCAAAACCTGTGACAGTTTTCACATGTCTCAATTGCGAGTGTCTGCACTTGTCCTATCTGATCACTTACATATCAACACGATGGCAAGATGCTTTCAACTCGCTATTCTGCACACTATGTACCAAACTCCGCTCCACAACATCCTGCAGGGTGCAAGGGCAGCAAGTGACAAGTGTCATTTCTATAAATGCAAACAGTTCAAAGTACACCTGTACCCAGATGTTTTCGACCTTTGCTTTCTCTTGGTACCCCCATTTGAGCTGCTGCTCTGTGGGACCCAATTCCTCAACGCTCATCAGCAACAGCCACATGAGCAACATGTGAGCAATGCGTGAGAATCGAGTACGCCACGCTACTTGATGGACAGCACACTTGTGGTTGAAGTCCATTGACCAGGGAGTGCACGTCCAGCCCTCACCATCAAAGCATGCTTTGGCTGCACAAATACCCATGATCGCCTTCCAGGTGCAACGCAAAGGCTCTACAAAGGACAATGTGACCCAGATTTCCATCATCCCGGCCAGATCTCTGCCTCGCCTCTGCCATCAGCTCCCTCTGCACCAGGATCTGGCACACAAGAAAGGAGCCGGGGCCTGACGGTTGGCCTGCCGAGTGCCCTGCCAGAATTGTATTTTTCCCTTCTGACCCAAATTCCCTGAGGCAACACAACGGGCTTTTAACAATATGGACACAAGGACAGCAAAAAATTCAGAATGGCGATCTGCTGAGCAGTCCATCAGTATAACATTGCACCCAGCAAGTGCATATGCAACAATGGGGCTACAGATATTGCAGGGCATGCATCGATATGTGTATCAAGCTCAGGGCAGGATACTCACAGCAGGTTCCCTAGTTTCGTAGTGGATGAGTCAGTCACCTGTGCTTGGTGCCAGCCAGCCTGGCTACCACAATTTCAAAGTTGCAGAGTCAGTCTTTGAATCAAATGTTGCTGCTGCGGCGTTCAGAGTCTGTTTCATGTGGAAGAGTCTCTGCCACCAAATACCCGGCGAATGACAATTTCGGTACTCATACAGAGATTTACTTCTTGTGCAATATGCTGGGCTATGTTGGACATTGCACATTGGACTATGTTAGCCACGTTGGGGATGAGACGCAAGCATCTGCATGGACACCTTGGACATCGACTGTCACAGAGCAGAGACGCACTGCTCAACTCTGTTGAGCATCTACACAGCCTGACAGACAATAACACTCACACAGGGGTCACGGGCTCCTGCCCCTTTTATTGCCAGCACACACAGCAAGAACCGCAATCTTAAGCTGCATTATTCATCGGAACGCGTGAGTTTCAGAATCTGTTCCTTTGACCATTTCCCAAATTGTGCTGCATTTGGGTAGAGGCATAGTCATGGATATTTAAGTTGCAAGCACTTTGCTTTAAAGCAGGCTCTCTAGCGGTGTGCATCTGTTCAAGGCCAACAGACCAATCGAGGGTGGTATTTTCGGCGGAAGGCCACACTATTCACTTGTTGCAGCATATGGCAAGCCTCCCACAAGATGGAACAGAAGCAGGCACTGCACCTCAGAGCAACATCAGTTGCAGATCCATTGGGAAACACCAGAAAACAAGAGAAAAGCACACTTCTTTCAGCCACGGTGCGAGCCAAATCTGCTACAAGGGCCTTCTGCAGGCAAAACTGTCAAACAAGCACCCACCCTCCTCCCCCTTTGAAACTCTTACCTGCCCAGCAGATCCTTGGGCTATGTTCCACTCAGCGCGACAATCAAAACTACCCAACATCGACTAGCAGGCACTCTGGCAACGAATCGTCACAATCCGATCAATGCCATCACAGCAAATTTGCAAACCACGCTGAAAGGCAGTCACTCACAGTAAAGTGTAATGCGGGTAGTACACGAAGCCTGCACTGGCATCCCTCCTGTGCCACACCATCTCTGCAGGACCTGCAACCACAGACGCACCCAGGCAAAATAAATGCTTTCTGGCTCAATGTGCTGAAACCTTTAGCAAACCCATCTACCTCGTTAGATCCTCAACAGATCATACAAACAAAGGGAACCCCCCTCCTACGCAGGTGTGTGCGAGCCCTTTTCCCGTGCTGTGAGGTGACGATGCAGGGTCTACGGTACGAAACGATGAGCACACGACACACGCACAAAAGGCAAGGAAACACGCACTCAGGGGTCGGGTGGGTGGCGGTGGTGGTGGATAGTTTTGCGATCGTGTGCCCGAGAGGCCAGGCTTCGCGCACAGCCGGTGGGGTCTCTTTGGAGTGTGCTGCCCAGCTTCCTCGTCAGGCATCCCCTCCACACACACAGCGCCCGCCTGGAGTCGCGCCCCCTCGAGTCCCGGGCAGACACTTGACGGGAAGACCACCCAGATCTTTGCCCATCCCGCGTGTCCGCCGCAGCGCGAAAACGGCCTTCTTCGACCGCAGCTCGCGCGAGCTGCGCACGGGCAGCGAGCGGGGAAGCGAACAAACGGGGCGGACCGTCTGCCGTGTGCAGGGCTACCGCTCTGCCTCGCGAAGATCGAAAGGGAGATGCGCACCGCCTTGCTGTCCACGTCCGCGCCGGCGTCGCTCCCGGTGTCGTCTGCGGGCCGTGTGCTGCTCTCCCGGGCCCCACCCGCCAGGTCGCGGGACGCGTCACCGGCGTCCGCGCCCACCGTGGCCCCCCCGGCGCCCAGCCATCGGGCGCGGCACTCTTTACTGCCACATGTGGCGGGAGTCTCCAGGTCATTTAGCTGTCTTAGAAGTCTTAGAACAGTCCTAAGAACAGCATCTGCAACATCCTGCGATGGCGTTCGCGAAAGCCATGAGGGAAAAAAAGAGGTTCAAAGAAAGTACCAAAGGAAGTAAGGGACGCTGGGCAAGATTGTACCTGCGGACCAACACAACGTGGGGTCAGAAGAAATGCAACAGCACGTGGGTAAGCGCGGATACCAGACGGGACCCCCGCCAAAGAGCCAAACTTAAGAATATTGTCAAGAATTGCAGGACCAATGCCGTGAAGTAAACAGTACATTAACAAACCGAAAAAAAGGGGGCGCCAAGCCACGATGGGCACGATAGAAGGGCGAAGTTCCCAAAAGCGAGCAAAGGGCGGCACCGGCCACCATAGAACAAGAGGAAGCGAAATCAATCAGTACAAGAAATCGACATGATCCTCACCGAAGAGGTGGAGCCAAACATCGTATGCCGGGGTACCACCACAGCTCTCGACTGCGGACTGTGCTCGCCAGTGGCCAGCTGCCAAGGCGCCCACATGGAGTGGCAGCCCGCTTTCCTGCTCCGCCCCCCCAGGGTCGGGCTCTGCCTTTTGCTTGCCCGTTTGCATTGCTCCGATGTCTCAGCAGCAATCACTAAGGAAAAAAGTCCCAAATGACACTTCGCAAACACGTATGCATGCATTTGATCACTGTTGCGCACGCTGAAAACGCGAAAACAACCCAAAAACGTAAGCTTTGCACACGTTTCAACGCGTGTTACTTGGCCCTTCTTCTCCTAGTGAATGGCAGCATGTTCAGAGCTCAGGTACACAGCGATGCACAAATTTTTCCCCAAATGGGATCCCCGTGTCTATGAGTGGAATTCCCAAACGAGGTGCCTGAACGCAACATATCATTGCAGCGTACTGCGGTCTATTGATCAAACCGTAGAAAGCGTCTTGGGCGACACGTGGAAAACTTTTTCAAAGGCATTTATATAAATACATATATGTTGGCCTTTCGCCCTTCGTCGTGGGGCAGGTTGCATTGCCTGATTGAGCAAACGCTGTTGATGAACGCTGTGCATCTAATGCAGATCGATTACCTTCTGTGAAACGCGCGCGGATGCCTGATCCTCCTGGTGGCACCAGTGGCTCAGGGGACTTGTCCGGCCCTGTGAGCTTCATGTAGCAACGAGGTAGTGGGCCCAATTCCAAGCACGAATGATCAAGGCTGGCTGTTGGGAGAATGTTCCAGCATGTTCAAAACCAGAAATCAGAACGATATTAACGAAGTATTCAGTTTTCGCAGTTGCAGCGACAAATGGCCTTCACGAGGTAATGATCATCGTACAAACTCTTAAAATATAGCAATGTGAGAACGCGGCACAGCATGCCGGGGATGTGGCACATACATGGCTGCGACAAGATCCAAATGTCACAATAAAACCATATCAACGTGAGAGCTATGCACCGTCCAGCGCTGGCATCTTTTCAGTCGGCAACGACGCCAAAGTTGTCTACTGGTTCTGGTTGCTCGTTGTTGCGTTGTTAGCTGCAAATGGAAAGGGTAGTCTGGCAGACACAGGCGCTGTGGTCTTGCCCATCGGGGCTCGATTGCCCCGTCGATGGGAAACAAGAACCCCTCTGCATATCTCAACGGGTACGCGTCGGGCCAGGACGCCGAGCCCAACTTCGGCTATCCAAACCTCGAAAATACAATGGTCGTCGGTAAACTGGAAAATGAGGACTGAATTTGTAAGTTCAGAGCGATGACAGCGGCGGTGGTCCTCCCTCGATTTCCTTGCCCTGAGCGAATATGCAACATTACCGGATGCTGGGCGCATTCCTGCAACTACCTCAATGAATATATCTGAACTGGACCTGGCTTAGTAAGATTTCATTAAACGATGCACCCCTATGCGCATTTGATCTTACTGGCAACAGCTGGCTCCGATGCCCTACGCGCCCGCAGCGGTTTTCCCGACCGACCTGCAGCGGCCATGCAGAATGCAGAGCATTCGCAACCGCGGCCTCACTATCGCGACGGAGGGAACTGAGAAATTGCGGCAGCCCGCCATGGCCGACCAACGGGGACCTCGAAAAGCTGCAGATGGCGGCCAGACTGACAGCGCTTTATACGAACGACTGCACGCCCGTTGAGGTCGTCAGCTTCCGCGCCGCCTCCCTCGAAGGGTGACTGAAGATAACAAGCCAGCGTGTCTAAATGTGAAAAGAGCTATGTGGGGAAAGCTGCATATACTGAAACGCTCTGATGCATTTGAAGATTCCGGAAGTGGCTGAGGAACATATGTGTGGGACAACAAAATGGCCTAAAACACACGGCCTTGGAACAACTTCGTCGAAGAGGCATTCAGTATGCGGTAATGCATTTCACGACTCGCCCAAGCCTGATGTGCCGTTGCAGGTGCAGGGGCCATTCGCCTCTTCCCAACAACTGGATTCACTTGAGAAATCAGAAAGGAGGATGCTGGTCCCTCGTTCATAATTTGTGGAAGTTTGGTGCAAGGAATAAAACGTATTCTCACTCACCTATCATGGCGGACAATGGCATGTCCAAATTGAGAACTGGGAAATGTGATTTGGCTCCTCGTGCTCCCTTAATATCGTGACTATGCATAATACCGAGTATGCTACATGCAACGGTCACGAGCAGCAGCAGTGTCAACCGTTCGCTGCCTGCCAGAGACAAATTTGGAAGTGTGCAATTAGAATAAAAATCTGCTTGACTTCCCAATAAAGCAGATCGTAAGCAAAGGGCACCAAGGCAATCGCGACATCATGAAAATGATGCTAGATTCCAGTAACGATCAACAACAATGTGTGATTATCTGTTCAGGAGAGCAAATCTCCATCGGATTGCCCATCTGTTACTATCACAACCCGTGGGAGCCATTCACACCTCCACTCCCAACGCCAAGGTCATGGAAAACACCGCCTCCGCCTCCGCCTCCATCTCCGCCTCCGCCTCCACCTCCGCCTCCGCCTCCGCCTCTGCCTCCGCCTCCGCCTCCGCCTCCGCCTCCGCCTCCGCCTCCGCCTCCGCCTCCGCCTCCGCCTCCGCCTCCGCCTCCGCCTCCGCCTCCGCCTCCGCCTCCGCCTCCGCC